CACACACACACACACACACACACACACACACACAATCTGCGTTTTATAATAAGTAAGATTTATTTATTGTCGTCTGAATCTGACTATTAGATGTTATTCGAATATTCAAGATTTAATGGCGGTAAATTTTTCCCGCCAATAGATGATTTTTCCTGCTACATTATTTTCCTATACAGTCTTTAATCTATTCTCTCTTGTTCGCTTGCCCGGCTTTAAACATCATATTCATAAATCAGTCATTGTTATTTCGACAAAACATCTACCCTGTCACTTTCTTTCAAATTCATTTCTTCTTCATTCTTTTTTTTTTTTTGCGCTTTACTCCCTAATCTTGTACGTGCGAAACTGATTTTTATTGTGTCGTAGACCTTATTAAATATTATCTACACAACTACCTGAATATTTTTCATATCCATCTACGCAAATCTGTTTGCATTTATATTTGCTGATTATCTCTTTCTCCTTTTAGCTCTCTCTTGATAAATATATCTGTGAGGACGCGTGGAGGTTTACAACCATGAGGCATGGGTTCAAATCTCACCATAGGCACCTTCACTTATTTATATTATTGCCATACCAAGGTGATCCTAGCATTTTTGCAAAGTGCACGAGGATATGATTTTGGTCACTATGCCAGATGATGAGTCCTTGCCTAGAAACTGCTACTAAGGAACGCTCGGTATATTTAAAGGTGCCCTGTAAACGAAAGGTGGGCTCTGTGGGTGTTGAACGAACACAAGTAACTCAACATTATATATATATATATATATATATATATATATATATATATATATATAACTTACGAAAAGAAATTGTTTTTTAGTTATCTATCATCGCCTGAAGAGGTTCCATCTTAGTACCGAAACATGAAAGCTTTTGTGTAGCGATGTAAAGTGTTTTTATTGTAATGCATTATAATAACAATATTATAATATTTTGCTCTACGTTGTATTGAGCACTTTTATAAAATAAATGTTACGAACTGTGTATTTTTACTTCATTTGTTCTTTTTCATTTCATTTATATATATATATATATATATATATATATATATATATATATATATATATATTGTGTGTATTTGACATCTTTGATAATGGCTTGAGTGTTCAATAACATTCAGACCCAGTAGGTTTTTCCCTCTATTTACGAAAGGAAGATTCACGCTATCTGATACACAAGGACTATAGAACCTTGAGGTGAAATGTGGAGTGGGACCTAGATAAAATCAAAAAAACATTTTTTCCATTTGTTAATTTAAATTAATTTACACGTTTTTATAAATTTTCTATTCCCAGAAAAATAAACTTGATAATTTTGTTTTTTTTCTATCAATTATATATATATATATATATATATATATATATATATATATATATATAATACGTAGTCACAAGTCTTCGTATCGTGCTGGCCTTGTTCAAATTGTTGATCATGCTAGATAATACGTTATTTCCCAGAAACTGTAATTAAAGTCTGCTCTGCATAGTTGCAGAATAAACACAAATGCGCTTGAGCAAGCATCTGCAATAGGAATTACTTAACCGCCCTAGTGGTTGGGTATCCTCGAATAGGATGGATGTGGCCAGCTATGTAATACATTATATATATATATATATAAATAAATATATATATATATATATTAGCGGCAGTCATTTTTCAGTTCATAGAGTGCAACCAAACAAGGAAGATGCTTTCTTCTAGGCTAAATCCTCCTCCCCAGCAGCTTACTAGGACATGGTGCCGTTTCTCTTTGGGACATAGATGCATCCGGCCCATTTAAATCTGAATTCCTAAACATGACTTTTCCAGGTCAGGAGTATCTCCAAATTATATGTAAGATCTTTTCTTTCTTTTTGTTCCTCCTTATACTTTGTTGTATAGATATTTGTGATATATTGTTCTCTGCGTGGGATACTTTTATATATGTATATGTAAAGTTTTGTATATGTCGAAATATATAAAAATCTCTCTGAGAACAAAGTTAATGGATGATAATATCATATCGTTAAATAATATCATGTCGTGGGGTCACCAGTGAAACGATCATTTTGTTAGATTTAATCCATATCTTCAACTCATATATATATATATATATATAGTTTTAAGGTATGCTATATTTATGGGATAAAATGCTCAATATCAGAGACTGAGCGTATATAAATTTGAAAGTGAATATTGAAATCAATATATATATATATATATATATATATATATATATATGAGTGAACATTTGTCATAGGTCCTTACCTAGATCGACAGAATGAACTCTTCCTAACGCTATGTATATTGCGCCTCTCAAAGAGAGACGGACGGTATTGAATCGAGTCGAGCTGATAGTAGTTCACTCTAAACCAGTCTGACAGTCATACTAACACCTTCCACTTCTTGCATTATTTTTCCTGTAATATATTCTTTGTTATTTCTACTCTTGTGTTTTGTGTTGTCCTTCCATAGTCTTAACCTTGGGCCATAACAACATTAAAGGCGACAGACTGTTTCATGCTAAACGCAATCATCAGGACACCATATATATATATATATATATATATATATATATATATATATATATATTGTGGTAAACCCTCCTACAGTAGAATGAACTCTTCCTTCTCTCATAAATACTAAATGCGAGACTTCCTTGGGCAGTCTCTGACTGTGTGCGACTTCTGTCGAACTCTTTGCCTTGAGCAGAGAGGAACCCGGACGAGTCTTTGCCGAAGGGCAAAGTTTCGTCCGGGGAGGTAGACAGATCCCGAACCCGTTTATGCGGGTTCTAAGGGAATATTTTTGTCCGACTCTACGGGTTCTGAGATACCCACGTTAAACTCGGCCTTGTGCCACATACATTCCTCGTGGGAGGACTGTTAAATATCGTCGTTGGGCAGCCGAGACGCAGTGTAACCTGAACGTTCGGGCGGACACTTCTATCTACTTATTAATAACACTCTTGCTTTGTATATATCTGTTATTTTAATACACATGTTCAACCGACCTTCGTCTTCCGTGTCTTTCTTTTCCGGTCCCTAAACAGGCCACTGCATATATATATATATATATATATATATGAAGACAAACGGGGACTTTATCTGAGCCGACGCGTTTCGTCCTCTGAGGAGCTTTATCAAGGTAGATGTGAGGATTTTATTTTGTAACACGTTTTTATAGATGAGTTAAAAAAATGTTATTGAGTTTTCAAAATTTTAAATTAAAGAACGTTCTTAAATATTCTGTCGGTTATTCGAAAAGTTTAGGCAAGCTATGGAGGACGCTAAGTGACACAATTCAGTGTCTAATAAACGAAAGTTCTTAAATTATTTTTTAAATATATCTGTCAAAGAACACTATGAATAAAGACAAAAAAAAGGAAAGCTTATCGTAGCCGATGTCTTACATCCTCTGATGGACTTTATCAAGACAAATGTTGATTTGAAACCGGCCTTGATAAAGTCGACCAGAGGACGATAAGCGTTGGCTATGATACGTTTTCCTTTTGTCTTTATTCACACACACACACAAACACACACACACACACACACACACACACACACACACACACACACACACACGCTCACTCATATACACTCACACACACGCTTACTCACACACTCACTCACTTACACACACATACACTCACTCACACGCACTTACACACACACTCACTTAGACACACATATTCCTTTTCTTAGGTATATAAATATATAGGAGCATTCCATTTTTAATAATTTTAAGAGAACTTTTGAATAAATATGGAGAAATAACATTGTATTTAGTTAATAGTAGATTCAAAAATTAAAATATATAGCCGAAAAAAGAAAAAATAGAGAAAAATAATAATATGGCTTAATTCATTCCACGACAAGAATGTTGATACACATATGGGAATAATTTTTTAAATTATCGCAAAACATTTTCATAAATCACGGAAATTAAAGAAAATATTGAATAGAAATAAAATAAGAATGAGTTACAGTTGCAGAGATAACGTTGTAAATAATAATAATAAGAAGAAGAAGAAGAAGTAGGAGAAGAAGAAGGAGAAGAAGAAGAAGAAGGAGAAGAAGGAGATAGGAGAAGAAGAAGAAGAAGAAGAAGATATAATTAGAAGAAGAAGAAGAAGAAGAAGAAGAAGAAGAAGAAGAAGAAGAAGAAGAAGAAGAAGAAGAAGAAGAAGAAGAAGAAGAAGAAGAAGAAGGTTTCTGGAAGAAGAAGAAGAAGAAGAAGAAGAAGAAGAAGAAGGAGAAGAAGAAGAAGAAGAAGAAGAAGAAGAAGGAGAAGAAGAAGGAGAAGAAGAAGAAGAAGAAGGAGGAGAAGAATAAGAAGAAGAAGAAGAAGAAGGAGAAGAAAAAGTAGGAGAAGAAGTAGAAGAAGAAGAAGAAGTAGGAGAAGAAGAAGTAGGAGAAGAAGGAGGAGAAGGAAAAGAAGGAGAAGAAGAAGAAGAAGAAGAAGTAGAAGAAGAAGAAGAAGAAGAAGTAGGAGAAGAAGGAGGAGAAGGAGAAGGAGAAGAAGAAGAAGAAGAAGTAGGAGAAGGAGAAGAAAAAGAAGAACGAGAAGAAGAAGAAGAAGAAAGAGAATAAGAAGAAGAAGAAGAAGGAGAAGAAGAAAGAGAAGAAGAAGAAGAAGAAGAACATATAACAACAAAATACGAAATAGCAAAAATGCAAAAAATATAAAACCGAATTCTAATTGTAGAAATCAAACCAGACCAGATTAAAAAAAAAGAAGAAAGGTTTTCATTGGGTATAATCAGTCTCTATTGAATGTGCAGGTAGTATAACGCAAAGTGGTATCGGCGAGACGAGTTCAAATTCTGGGCTAGTCAGTTTCGCACAAAAAACTTCTGGGAAAAGCATGTATCCATCTCTTCTGTCCCCAGCTGTGAATTAAATTAAATAGCAGTAAAGACTAGGCTCTCTAGTTTTAGCTGGTAACCAATCTAAGAGAAGGAAACCTCTGAATTCCTAAACCATAGTGAAGCCAATTGTAAACCAATCCACTATATATTTTAAGAACGTATGGCTACTCATACAAAAGAATTCTGTGGAGAGTCATGAATGTCTACGTTCTGTCGATTTCTTCGTCGGTCTGTAATCTTAAAACATAAAACAGCTTATGGCCACATCACGTTGAAAGATCGGTTCTCGTACGATCATCGAAGGTAAGCAACATTGAGCTTGGTCAGTATTTTTATGGGTGGCCGTTTAGGAATAAGAGGTGCAGAAAGCATTAAATGTGCGGCTGGTGTAATGGATAATGGCTTGGGATTATTAATCGGAGAGCCGAGTTCCAATTTCATTTACCTTCGTTATATTCATTTAGTTGGGAAAGG